ACTTAAGTTTATTTTCTCGCCCCTTAACTCTGTATTAGTTTCATATATAATCCTATGGCAAGTCGGTAGATGATGAAATTGTTCGAGGTGCGTTTCGCGAATTTATTGTAACAACAGAAGACGAGAGCCAGGCAACAGATCTTTTTTTAAGGAAATCAATACATAGTTATGTATTTTCATGTCCATTATTATAGATTCTTGTTAGCGGAAAACACAGTCCTCTGATTGGTTGTTTCTCACAGAAAGTTAACCTTGCATCACTTTTTGGGTTTTTCTTGAATTTCAGATCATCTCTATGTTAACTCCATCCACCTACACAAATCCTTTGTTCTCATTTTTCTGCTGACCAATATTTGGGAAATAAATACCGATGTAAGTTACTGTCCGCCAGTTTTAGATAACAGCCAGCTCTCAACATAATATCATACGATTCAGACAAATTACGTCTTATTGCTCTGTCTAAATATCGACCTGTGTCAAAAGTAGTGACTGGCATAAAAGCACACCGATAAAAACTAGTAATTCTTACTGTGTTAACTCGTTAACTATTTTATTAGTAGTGATATTCATGTATAACCCTATGAACACTTTCTTTAGCTGCTCGTTAATTTTGGCGGCCTCACGGGGCTCGTTGCTGAGATGGTGATTTACAGTATCATTGATTTTATATTCTATGTTAAATCACTAATAAATATATTCCGTATTCCTCAAAGGGTATTTTACTTGTTAATAGTCAATATTAACTTTTGCGAATGTTGTCAGCTAGAGAGTTTGGGAGACTATGGTCATGTGTTACATTGAGTAGTGCATTTAGAAGCGATGTTTGCCTCTGAGTCATAGTGTCGTCAATATGCGGTAGATTCTTGCTGTAATGATTAGTTTGTTAGCAGTAATTGTTATCGGTACCTATATTCTGGAAGGATGGTGTGTAACGAAGCATACTGAGGTTAGAAATATCGGTTTCAACCGAGACTGGTGCTTACATAGGGGAAAACTGACAATTCAACAATCAAAACATCAAATACGTGATAAAGTTATTAACATCGTTCACATGCGAACAATCAAAGTTATATATTCAGTAGTTGTGGTAACTTGTTGATAGTTTAATGGATTTTTTGTTTGATAGAATCAAAGGCGGGACAGTGTAGATGAATGCATGGACAAGCAACATCAGCTGGCCGGTATACACATACACTTTCTTCTGAAATTCTACTGCTGCGCCTACTCTTCTGTTTAATTTTTGGTCGAGGTCAAACAACCCTCCGTTTAAACCGAAATGAAGCTGGACTCCAGATCATTGGCTAGTAATGACTCAGCATCCTTGATAAAATCCACTGTCACCATAACAAGATGCTGTACAGCATCCTATACAGGCACTGTCAACGATCTAAAATGGTTTACATATAGTATTCTACGTGTTAATCAACTTACTCGTACGGAACAATCATGCAGTGGCAAATGGCCGTCTTGGCTGACGTGGGTGCATTAAAACAAATCTGCGTTACAATAACCAGTATTGATCCCCATTCAGTACAATTCACGTCTGGTGGTAATTGCAATAAAAGTGATGACAAAATCATACAAATAAACCACTCACTTTAAATCAATACCCAATTTGAACACAAAACAAGAACAAGATACGATGCTGCACACAACTAGGTTATATGGAGAGACTGACTTCAAGCTTTATTTTATCTCAAATGTTTGTAATCCATCCGACTGATATCAGAGGTGACAGCAACCTTATAATTTCACCTTAAATCAAATTCACGTAATGTAAATAATATTTATCCATGCCTGTACAACTAGTGTGTCCCACATAGATAGGAACAAAATATATATTTTTTGATGTAAAACACAACCGGGCAAAGAATCTCGAAGGCAAGTGTAGATCAGTCTCCCGAAACGTTTTTAGTGAGTAACTAAATTTGTCTTTGTTTGCTTGTTGACGGGCTAAGTGGTCATTATTATTGTTCTATTACGTTAGAATAAGTGTATCCAAATGCTAGTTTACTCATAATTCTGTCTTCTAAATAACTTTGCGAAATGGCGTTTACTTCTAGTTTCGAATTACTAAGTAAAGGTTGACATCTCTAGGGTTTTCCTCATATAAAGTTTAAACTGTCGCCAAAGAAAGTAAATATGTTCAAATTTATGAAAGACTTAGATATGGAGTTGCTTTTTCTACTATCACAACACTAACTGACTCATTCATTACAGTCGCAAAGTAAAACTGAATCTTCCGAAGGCAGTGTGCTCCTAACGTCTAGACATCTTAGTGTACCTTGAAGGAAGAATTATATCCATAGGTTTATAAGATTAAATGTGTGATATAATTTCAAAACTACGTGCCTACGGTTGACAGCCACAGATTACACCACGTCGCAATCTATTCCCTTAATTGTGTCCATCAGTGTGATGCCAGTTAAGACCACAGACGGAACACCACTGGTTTTAAGAAAATCCATTTGTTCCTTAATATTATGTACATTCCGTAACTATAGGCAAACTAGGAAACGCACCAGCTCATAACATATATACGAACAATAATCAAGCGTACAATGGAGAATTGACTGAAAGGACTTCCTTCCCGATATGGCCCAAGGCTCATGTGCAGTAATTCATATCTACATCTATGAAGGTGCATCTATGTAAGGCAAAGCATTTCTTCTACATGATTAGGAGGGACGCTTTCGTGTTTCACGGGTGCTCACTTCATGAATTCCACTTGTACCTGCAGAAACTTTACAACACAAAAATATCTTGTCGGGATGTGGTGTTGTGTCACACTGTGATTCCTCAGTTTACATTTAGATCACACTTAATGATATCAGTATTACCGCTTTTAGTCGAAAAAGTAATTTGACTATGTCGCTTCTGGCAAGGTTCGTCAACACTAAGTGCTGTGCCCTGCGGAAGTTCTATTAAGAAACCATGCAGCTTCGCAGACAACTAAATAGAAGCATTTCCCTTACACAAGATGTATTCAGCAATGAGTACACTATTAACTCACTGCGCTCAGCCCTACATTACTCTATAAAACTTTCTTGTTTGGAAATGAAACATGGACATACATATTGTCAGCAACTGCAAGTGCAGCAGTTCGATTTGTTACATCCCATGCTTGAAAAATATTATATTTAGTTGGTAATAAGCAAAATACACTTCATCTGATGTGTTTCAACTTTGCATTTGGGCTATGGGATAAAATAAACTAACTCATGAGATATAACGAGATACAGTTTTAAAGGTATCTCGGGTAAGAGGAGAAATGATTGTGCGATAACCCTTTCTTTCAGTTAGGCAGGAACCAAACGAAAGAATAAGATCATCATTTGTTAACATTTCGATGATTCACTTTTCAATATTTCGTTATATTATCCTGACTGACTTGCAACATAACAGCTTGCACACAAGTTCACCTGTTCAAGTTACGACATTCCGTGTAGCACCTGAAGGTATGCAAAAGAGGCTAAATGGAACTTTAATGAAAACACATGTGATAGAGGATGGACAGTAACAATGAAAAATCATAAGGGTTAATTGGATACGTGAGATCACACATAGTGAATGCATCTGTGTCACTGACGACGGTTTGGAGTCACATCTTTATCTAACAATGTAGGCTCAACTCAAGTATTACTCACTGTATTAAGCTACTTGCACAGGGGATAGGGAACAGATACCTACATGCAAACAGCAGTGGTATTTTCATATCTCAGAGATTCGATGGCCACCTCTAACTACTTGGGCGGTCGACATCACCAACACGCTCTAAGTTGACGGGACTTTTCCCTGGTAAGTCCCTAAAGAAAATGGCAGAAAATTTCATTGGATTATGTATGATGAAACTGAACTAAGATAGGGACGACAGTCGTAGAAACGAGCCTTGTATTGCATCCTTCTTGGAACTATAAATCCCCTCATAGTTTAGTGTTTCAGCGCTAAGCAAGTAGAATGGGACTTGTAAAATTCACGAAACTCACAAATAACTTATTGCCCTTTCAAAAACCCAGTTAATGTTTCCTCAGTGAAGTCAAAAATAGGCATTGTGCTTGTGCAAACTCAATAGATTGTGAACTGCAGCCAATTAAAATACAACAATTCTCGGAATTACAAGTTTTAAATTTAAATTAATCGCAACATTCAGCAATTGTTAAGTGGTTGCTTGCTGAACATCAAACCTGTGCAGGAAGTGCTTAAGACTTGGTGAAACATGTTCACTTTTGATTTCAATATGAAGTCTCTTTGCTAACTGTATTACTGTAAAAGCCTACACAGTTCACAAATTAACTCATAACACTGAAGTGGAAAAACTTCTATCTGTTCTCACTGAACTTATTATGGAAAGTCTTGTGAAGTTTTTCCTGTGTTATTAACCTTCTTATCCAGAAGACAGGGCAAGGCATTCATAATGTTTTGCTTCACGTGGGATCGCAATGCAACTCGATACGCAGTAGTATCTATACGAATAAAATGAAAGAAAGTATTTTTTACCTGCTGGGCAACTTGTCATTATTTCAACCAAAATAATTAAATTCTTTCCAGAATCAGCCTAAGTTACGTTTATGAAATCGGGATATTGTAGCAATCTAATCTTTCGACAAATAAAGGCCACTTGAAAAACAAGTTTACATCAAGGCCACACATTGTGCTCATAGTGTTAGCGCCTCGTATTCTTGAATAAAAAGCAGATTGTGATGGGTAAATAAAACTGAAATTAATGCTGAAATTGAGCTATGAATACCAACAACTACCGAACAAATTAAGACAATAGCGTCTCAGTAAGTGGGCCAGAAAAACCGGTATGATCCCATGAAAACTAAAAAACATTTAAGTTTTGTCCAAGTAACGAGTGCTTAAAGCTTTCCACTCCTGCGCACATAATATAAGCTCTGAATTGGGGATTGAATTGAGGAAGGCGGACCATTCGTAAATGATGTTACAGCAAGCGGATAGCAACAGCTAACCTGTAACTGTATGGTTTTTCCGACATAAAAATGCTACGTGCAGTTTCTGTAGACTTTCCAGTAACCTGGAAGTCATTAAAAGATGTTGTATATAAGTTAATTCGTTGTGATTACGTTGACAGAGACTTGTGGAATTCAAGTTTTGGGGATGTCTACAGTTTGTGTACTTCGAGTCCAGTATCCCATGCCTCAACTTTGTACAAATCTACTACAGCCCTTATTAGTGAAAGAGTGGAAGAGATATCTGCTGATCTCGAGGTGTTAAGTGATTCCGAGTTGCTTCCCATGTATGTTAAATACTGGGAATCATATCACCGCGGTCTTACCTACTTAGATATCCTCTATAGGTTAGTTTTAAAAGTTTCTACTTTTTATTTGAAGATACATGAACACGCAGCATGTTAAGAATTTAAGGCCATCAGAGGCAGACATGTGCTATGGAGCAGCACTTCCTACGCTAGAACAACATACGATGGAAATACTGGAAGTAGGACTTGCTTTCTGGCGACTTTACTTGATCGACTGTATTAAAAACCGCCTGTCATCGTGTTTGATGCGTGAAGTTCTCAAGTAAGTTGTTGTGCCTTCTAAATCTCTCTTAGTGATAGAATGGGAATCTGTGGCCAACAAAGTAGCGTACAGTCTTGTTTGGCGTCGTTTTTAAGAGTTGGTGAATTAAGAGATTTTGAAAGAGTAAGTCCTCGCTAACTTTTGCCTAGAAATTTTTTATTCCGTATACACATGGAATTTTAATGCGAATTAGTCGTGTTGTTTTAAAGACGTCTTAGAGGATGATTCCTTTATTTCTACCTCCTGAAAATTATTTTTATGGTCGAAAATGGTAAGAACTAGACATTCAAAGCGATTGACTCTGTACATGTTAAACCTTCGAATATCACTTTTCTTATGTGTCTGTACGAAGCACCCTTCAAAAATGAGAGGTATGTTGACCAGTTAAAATGTCTGAAATCTCGAAAAGTGTGGAAAGTGAGTACCTTTATCTCCTTTATATATTATATTCAGCACTGGGTGGATTCCCCCATGTGTGGTTTATAATATAGAGAATCTAGTCAATTACACACAACATAGATCATTCGTGAAATTCATAGATTTGTGCTGTGCCTCATTTGACAACCACTCATTCTTTTCTACCATTGTCCTGACTTACCCTTTTTAACTGACACCTAATTTCGATATTTTTCATTTTGTCGTACTAAATGGCAGTGTTTAAAAGAGAGTATAGCACGCCAAAAACTGGTAATATTTTTATATCTTTTACTTTCAGTCAATACACCGATTTCGATATTACCAGAGTAAAACCTCGTTTATCTAGCATAATGTGATTTTAAGCAAAATCTAGCTAAATAGAAAGTTTCTCAATCTTGGGCAGAAGTGCAAGTATGACTGATATGCGACCCGCCCCTATCAAAAGTAGGATGATACTGTAGAACTGGTCTGTATCAACTGTAGTTTAAGAATATGAAATCGAATGATTAAATGTTTCGACTGCTTTACTTAGTTTGGAAGTTGCATCGGCTCTATTGGGAGGGTCGATGACGGAATCTCAGTATAGATTGAAAAGGCTTTCTTCATATTTACCTAATTGAGCCATCTTAGAGACTGGCTATTTATCAAGCTGTGTACTGTGCAGCGATTTGATCTATCACAACTTGTGACTATGAGACATGGCGATGAACGTCGTATACATGAAGATTTAGCGGTCTTTGACTACACGTGTCTTACTGTGATTGATAGCGTAAGTGGAAATTTGTAGTCAATAATAGTGAGGTTAGACGTTTTGCTAAGTAATGATGGAAAGTCGGTCTATTACGCTATGAAGACTTGTCTGTCCACATGGCTGACACGTGCATTTTTCTGAAGTGTAGCAAATTAAATTGATGCTCTCCTGTGCATATCTCTGCATTATCTAATTAATTTAATGTAATGGTCTCAGAAAAGAATAAAACGAGCTGCAATATATTACGCACACTGTTTAGTGAAGATCGAAATACTTGACTGAAAGTTGATGACTCAAACAAATTTCTTATATCCACTCCTGTAGCTTATATTTATATTTGGAAAGGACGAATCACATGCCGGTCGTACCGGGATTATTACTTCAGGCGTACAGCAGACTTTATTCTGTCAGTCAGTTTAACCTAAAAGGCTATGTAGTTTGCTTACTCTAAGCAAGACAGCTCGTCCCTGGCTATGGGTCAACCGCTAAAACTTTGTATTCAAACGGACACATCCCCGTCAGTATTTCTATGGTAAGATTAAGCAAAACATGTGGCTTCCTCAGGTTTGTAACCTTCAAATTGTCCTTTATCTTCGTATAAATATGGACTTAATGTTAATATTTTGACTATCTACTGATTGCTACCAAATAATTGATATCTATTCCTACAAAGTGCGATGATTACTAATAAACTCCAGTACATTAGAAGTTCCTTGAATTCTTACCGATTATCGCCTTAATTTAGTCTAAATGTTAATTGCCTAACATCATCTTTAATCTCCTCTGCATACTAATAGTCAGCTCACTGTTTCTCTTCGTTTCATGGGTGAGATTTTTCCTCTCGAAATTCAGCGAAACTGAGACTGGATAAGTAGCTAACTAAAGTCGATCAAAGTGTCCTAAATCTCTTACCGGAGGTTTTAGCAGTTTTTTAAATAAGAGGTCACAACCTTGTTTTCGCCGGCCAATCTTTCTGATAAGATTAATTCTCTAATGTTGCTTCGTAACGGTGCTTCTCTTTAGATTTTGTCACCACAATTCACTACTATTAAGAAATTGCGTTACCAGATAGTTTAGGCAAAATTAATTTTGCTTGATAATTTGGTCTTAAAATCAACTACTTGAACCTCTCATCTGGTATTAGTAGTATTAGTGCAGAGCATAGCAGACAAAAATCATTATTTGAAGTCACATTGATTGAGATGGCTAGGACATGTGTTACGTATGCCTAACCGTAGCCTTCGTGGACGGGTAATGTTAGCTGACACAGAATCAGGTTGAAAAAGAGCTAGTGGTGGTTAAACCGAAACTAGTCATCAGATCATAAAATTCTTAACAGTTAGTTTGAATTACGTATGGGGGTGTAGACTTCGTGGTTGGGAACCTCGTGATTTTACTGGGTGGGGCTGATAGCCTCATGCACAACCTTCCCTCATTACCAGTCTTACTATTAGTTTAGCGAGGTAAAGGAGTGCGTCGGCCGGAGATCGAACCCCGGACCACATGCTTGGTCGGCAAGCATTCTACCACTGTGCCACCCACGCACCTCGTAATTCTAAGAATCAACACCGATAGTTAGAGGCGTTTGGTGATATAGCTCGAAATCTCAATGGCGCTAATGCACTCACTCTTTGTGATCTGCCGTATCTACTAAAACCCAATGTTTTTCCATGTTACTATTCCTTCTCTCTCACACTTCTGATTATTATCGTTCTCTCGAATCACTTTTTTCTCTTTTGTCTTCCTTTACGTGGTAAATGGAATGTGATACCTCATAATGCTGCACTTCTGTACAAAGTTATATGTTGATATCAGTCAGTCGGTAGCTAGATGAAATCCTCCGATCAGCTCCTCGACTTGATAGCTCTCCACTTCCTCTCCACTCTGCGTCCACTAAAAACGATGGAAGCCAAAAAACCACCACCGACAGCCTCTTAAAGCCGCGCCACCAATTTCATATAGGAGCTCTTAATGTTAGGACACTTTGCCAAATAGGACAACAAGCATCACTAGCCATTGATGTATGCTGTGTTTCAGAAACACGCATACAAGACCCAAGTGTGGTTATTCACCTAACCCCACCTGGCCAACAGGTTGAATCTGCAAAATTCACCTTGAGGGTGTCAGGAGATGCCACAGCTAGTTCACGAGGATTAGCTGGCGTAGGGATAGCTTTGAGTACTAGGGCAGAAAAGACATTGCTTGACTGGATCCCGGTAGATAGCCGAATGTGTGCTGTCCGCCTGAACGGATCAGTAAGAAGGAGGAAGGACTGCACTACTCGCCGATGCCTTTTCGTAATCTCCGCCTACGCCCCCACTGACTGCAGTTCAGATGAAACGAAGGATGAGTTCTACCAAAAGCTGTCTAGTTTGGTGCGAAAGGCTAAACGCTCAGACATAGTCGTTCTAGCTGGTGACTTTAACGCTCAAGTAGGGAAATTGTGTCAATCTGAGAAGGATGTCGGTGGCACCTATGGAGCTCCGTGCCAGCGAACCGACAACGGTGACCGTCTCCTACAGTTCTGCTCTGATAATCATTTGTTTCTTGTAAGCACTAACTTTAAACACAAGGAGAGACACTGTTTGACTTGGAGACCCCCTTCATCAAACCAACGCTGGACACAAATAGACCACATAGCAATAAGCTATCGTTGGCGTGGGTCGGTAGGAGATTGTCGCTCCTTCTGGAACACGTGCGTAGATACCGACCATGCACTGGTCCGCGCTCGGGTGTGCTTACGACTGAACGGACGTAGGAAACAGCTGGCGGTAAAACCATCACGTCCCCAGCTCGATCAGGAAACTAAATCCGTATTTCAGGAAGAACTAGCTAAACACATATCTGTGTTCGACAGCTGTGCTCACCCTGAAGAAGCTTGGAAAAATATCCAGGCAGCCATAGATACAGCTGTAAAAGCTGTGAATAAGGTAAACCCAAAGGTGAGTAAAAACCACTGGATCTCCACCGCCTCATCCGAACTGATAGATGCTAGAAGACTTATTCCGGCGAGCTCCGAATTCAATGAGGAGCGAAAGCTGCACAAGAGGAAACTTACGAAAAGTCTCCGCAAGGACCGTGAACAGTGGTGGGCGACAAAAGCCAAAGAGATGGAGAAAGCTTCGAGGATAGGCAACACCAGGCAACTCTTTGGACTCATCAGGGAAACGGGTGGGAGAAGACAAATCATCAGTGAGACAATCTCGGAAAAAAATGGCACTATAATTAGCTCCCAGGATAGACGACTGGATCGTTGGAAAGAGCATTATGAGGAGCAGTTTAATTTGCCCACAGCCACGCTCAACCTTCCGAGCATCCAACACCTCCCTGAATGGGATATAGACACAGGTCCTCCGTCACTAACTGAGGTTACTAAAGCTGTCACCAATCTGAAACTAGGCAAAGCAGCGGGACCTGATGGAATGACGCCAGAGGTATTTAAGTACGGTGGAGACAGCTTACTGTCCGGATTAACTGAGGTACTAGGCAGCGTCTGGGAATCAGAAGAAGTCCCATCGGGTTGGTGTAAGTCACTGATTATCCCCATATACAAGAAGGGAGACAAGTCTTCCTGTGATAATCACAGAGGGATTAGCTTGACTAATATAGTATCTAAAGTCTTAGGCTCAATAATCATGCGTAGACTGAGTGGTGCTCGGGAAGCACAAACACGAGAGAGCCAGGCAGGCTTTAGACCAGGAAGAGGGTGTATTGATCATATCTTCACCCTCCGACAGATTCTAGAACATAGGCATTCCTACCGGCGTCCAACAGTCATTATATTTCTTGACCTAAAGGCAGCATTCGACTCTGTCGATCGGGAAGTTCTCTGGAGATGCTTGGCTGTAAAGGGAATTCCAAGAAAATATATTGCACTGATTAAGGCACTCTACTCGTACTCATACAGCCAGGTGAGGGCTTACGGCGAGCTGTCATCTGAACTGATGACGACCAGTGGTGTCCGTCAAGGATGCCCATTATCTCCTTTTCTATTCAACTTCATCATAGATGTGTTAATGGACTTAACCCTAGGTGACTTCAGCGACTCAGGGATTGACTTGCTACCAGGGAATAATCTCGTTGACTTGGAATATGCAGACGATATAGTCCTTCTAGGCGAAGACGCTGACGAAATGCAGAGTCTTCTAAACACCTTGAGCCGCAATCTACGAATGTTTGGCATGCGATTCGCTCCCGCCAAATGCAAGATGATGTTACAGGACTGGACTACATCGACGCCTAGTTTAAAAATAGGAAGTGAAGTGGTAGAGCACGTTGACCGCTTCACTTATTTGGGAAGTACCATCAGCCCCAACGGGCTGATCTCTGACGAAATCTCAGCACGAATACAAGGGGCTCGTTTCGCATTTGTTAGTTTACGCCGACTCTGGCGTAGACGAGATGTTCGACTATCGACCAAAGGGCGGGTGTACTGCTCATCAGTCCGCTCCGTCCTCCTTTATGGTTGTGAGACCTGGCCACTGAGAGTGGAAGACATGAAAAGACTAGCTGTCTTTGATCATAGGTGCCTGCGTTCTATTTCCCGTGTAAAGTGGCATAATAAGGTGAGCAACATGGAGGTTAGGCGTAGAGTTCTAGGTAAACAGGGGAAATCAATCGACGAAGTCGTGAAGCTACAAAGACTGAGATGGTTAGGACATGTGTTACGTATGCCAAGCCATCGCCTCCCTCGACGAGCTATGTTAGCGGATATAGGGTCAGGCTGGAAAAAAGCTAGCGGCGGTCAAACAAAAACTTGGCATCAGTCAATGAAATCCACAACAGTTGGTCTAAGCCACGTAGAAAGGTGTAGACTTCCAGGCTGGGGTCCTCGGGACGGTAAAAATCTATGGTTGGAAACAATTGGTGACATGGCTCAAAATCGTTCTCAGTGGCGCAGATGCATCCACTCCCTGTGACTTATGATCTTCAATGAAACTGTTTTGTATTTCTTTATTACTCCTTTGTCTCACACCTCTGCTCACTGTTTCTATTATGCTTTTCTTGTACTTTCTTCTCTTGCTTCGCGTGCTACACGGAATGTGGCGACTTGAACTTCCGCACATTTGTGCAAAGTTCTATGTCGAAAACAGACAGACAGACAGACTCCGATCACCAGAGAGTAAGGTAGAGTTACCAGTTTTTCGTGGTGATTTGAGCATATGCATCCAGCTATTTGGGCATCCAGGATTCTCCGTATCTCTATAGATGAACTGTTCACTTCATCTAACATATTGATAGGCTTAGAATGTTCGCGTCTCTTCTTAGTATTTTCTCACTATAAATTAGTTAAAGGTAACACAAACAAAATTTCTGACAAGTGTGGAACACAGAAGTACATATAAGAGGTAACTGATCGCACTTTATTGATCATATCATAGTATTTAGCAAGTTCTGTAGTTTAATAGGGACGGTGGACGAAGCGTGAAAAAAATTTGTATAATGTGCACTATCAAATTTGACAGAGAAATGCTAATGTCTTCTCCGCTAATTGTAATAAGTCAAAGTTGCTAGTTATTGAGGATGATGGAGTGTCCCAATGTCATATATTTTTTGGGACGCGATATCTATTTAAATTTACTTTATTGTGGTGCTGTGTGCTTGATCCTTTTTATCGTGAATTCAATGGGGAATACTAATCATCACACCTTAACGATCTCTATTCTACAAGGACTAAACCGTTTGTTTTCATTTACTGTCTTATATTTATCGAGTATGATATAGATATTACTAATTATTTTTAAAACTGAATGTGAACACCTAGCCAAATAAGCATCTTAATATTGCTCTCAATGCATATTTAAATATTCATAATACACCTCTAGATAACTGTTATCTCGTTGAATTTCATGTCACATAGCGATAATATTTCAGAGTTTTCCAATATTTAAATTTCATAATATATGTTTTCTTTGCCGTATAACGTGTTGTATTCTTAGTCCCAATGTTCCTATTACCTACAATTTCTAAAGGCTGGAATGGAAATATATAATCAAATATTCCAAAACCCTCTAATTGATGCTACACGATCATATTACTCTCAGTGGGCGTGCCAACGGGAGTCTGAATTAGGATGTGCTCAGTATGTAACTGAAGTAAGTTGGACACTGGAATATTTCCATGTTTCTTTAATAGTCATTTATTCATTTAACTGCAGAATTCGTACATTTCAGTCAGTTTAAGCGCGCCTCAACGAAATCTTGGTGTGACGATCCATTAACAGTACTCGAATATTCGAGTTGAAATAGATCGAGTAGATGTAAACTAGTGACTGCTTGATTCTTAACGAAATACCAAAGTTAACCAGCAATAAATCCATATAATCATGCATTTAAGAGTTGGATCTGGATAGAAGTAGTTTCATTTACATAATGCTAAACTGTTTATGGTTAAGATTGGTTATATCTCAACTTTTAAAATTCTAACTGTTGATATGTTCAGCTGCTTACATGTTACATGTCATGTTATTTGTAGAGAAGTAATATGAGTAGAGTAAGTAAAACGAGAGTATAGAGACTAGCTAATCCTCGGACTACACAATTTTTTAAATTCGAAATTGAAAGTAAAGATATTTGATTCATTAAAAACGTCATCAGTGAATATTGTAAGGTAAATAAATATATATTTAGTCTACAGCCTTTATTTTATATATCTCTTTCTAGTCTAAAAGAATTTTTAAATTCATTGTTTCCAGGTTTGAATAGTGGATAATGTTGAACAATGTTCGTTTGTGTTCTTGTTCAGTAAAATTATCATCAACAGGTGTGCATATTTAAGGGATAAAATGTCTGCCGTATTTTTTTATCAGAATCATTTTAACATTGTAGCATTTATGATTACAACTTATTTGATTCCTTTGCTTTACTATTACTCAGTGTATATCTATCTCTAACGCTTTCACCCTGCTGTGTGGTTCACTCCCCAGTGTTCCACTACATCAAGCACTCACACTTTACATAGGTAGATGCGAGGCTGGCATTTTTGTAATTTTAAAAAGCACTGGATTCCATACCTTATTCGGATCAGTTCTTTGTTCTGTAGCGTATTGTACTAGCTTTTTGAATTAATCAGTTTGATTTTCACACTTTATGTTATTTTGTGTATTTCGTACAAGATAGTTATACAGTATTTTAAAGGACAGTTTATGGGTTGAATGTAAACAACCGATAATACAGTAGCATCAGGTGCTGTGTGAAAAACAATGTTTTCATGTTCTTCCCTTACATGAAGGTGAAATTTCGTTTCCCAATCATGTGATAGTTTTCTTCAGACGTGGTCATTAACTTGACGCCTTGTGATTTTTTTCTGGTTTTCTGAACACAATAGGCATCACCTGTTTTTTTTATGCTGTATAGTGTTCTTCGCTTGTGGATAGGTTGTTTGTAATAATTTCATTTCGAAAATGCATACCATGGGTATAGAAAAATAAAGATAAAAGGGTACAGTTAACGGAAATAGATAATAGAGAATTGAATAGGTACGAACACAAGCAGGTCATTTTTACCTTCCCGTCCGACAAATGTCAAGTTGTTAAAAAGACATAGGATTATGAGTGAGCTAGTATTTGGATACATTTATTCTAATGTATTTGAATAGCCTAGGAATATATCATTTACTTTCGGTCAATATTTGTTGTTCTACTTGTAACCAATCGCCAGCTACACAGGCTTTCGCAAACGTACTTCAGCTGATAAGGTTTCCAGTAGTTAGTTATACTTAACACATGACCCAGTCATAACAACTGCCGAAATTTTAGATGTTTATCAATTAATTTACTGTAACTAATATCATCTGTCTATAGTAGAAAAGATTTGTAACTCAGGCGGATGATTTGCAATTAATAGTGTTCTCTGAGCTGGTTGGTTTAGTTGCGGAGCTTTCGTCGTCTTTCTGGACGGCATCTTCAGCGCAGTATTTAGCATAAAGTTAAATGATTTAAAAATCTCCATGAATGATGATACAATTGCGTCTCCTGGTGACCAACCATCTTCACATATGTATTGATCGTTTTCTATTGATTGGGATTTTTAACTTTCTGGTCATCTGATTTGCTTTTTATTAGTTGATATATTTCATCTATATTAACGTGTTTATTAATGGCATTTTCGTTTGAGTATCAGGCTTCTAGGAATTCCCTGGCACATTTGGTGTTTCCTCTGTTTATGATTTTGATATTATCCCAATCAAATTGATGTCCATAATTATCGGTATGCATTTATATTAAAGAATTTATATCATGTCTTTTCACGGCTGACTTTTGTTCTTGGATTCTTATTCGAAGGGGACGCCCACTTTGGCCGATGTAATGTTTGTTACAGTCCATAAAATTTATTTTGTAAATGGTGTTAATTTTATCTTCTTTTTCTGTTGGATCTTTCGGTTTGCATAATATCGAATTAAGCGATCTGACTGTCTTGTGTGCTATATCTATATCAAACGGTTTCATTATTCTAGCCGTTATTTCAGAGATGTTTCTGATGTATGGTAGGATGAATTTCTTTTTGGTCTTTGGTGATGGTTCTTTGTTGGTGCTTTGATTCGACTTTAAACACTTTTTGATGAAATTTTTTGGATAACCATTCTTGAAGACCGTTTGTAAGTAGTTTTCTTCCATTCTTTTCAACTCTGGTGTGCTGCAATGTGTTTGAACTCTTCTAAACAATGTCTGCACACAGTTTCTTTTGTGAGTAATTAGATTATTGCTAGAATAGTTGAGTATTTGATCTGTGTGTCGGCGTTGATTTTCTATATACTTGTGTTTCTAAATTTCCTGTGTTGGTTCTCCTAATTAAGACATCTAAAATTGGGATTTTGTTATCTAATTCTTCTTCTCTTGTGAATTTGATGTCTTCAAATATGTTGTTTATTAATTTATGGGTATATTCTAAATCATTTTTCTTAATTATTACAAATGTATCATCAACGTAGCGTATCCAGATTTTCGGTTTAATTATAGGTAGAGCTATTAATTCTAATCTTTGCATAAATAATAAAAAGCAAATCAGATGACCAGAAAGTTAAAAATCCCAATCAATAGAAAACGATCAATACATATGTGAAGATGGTTGGTCACCAGGAGACGCAATTGTATCATCATTCATGGAGATTTTTAAATCATTTAACTTTATGCTAAATACTGCGCTGAAGATGCCGTCCAGAAAGACGACGAAAGCTCCGCAACTAAACCAACCAGCTCAGAGAACACTATTAATTACAAATCTGTCTATAGTATTAGACTTCGTGTCTCAAATTCATTTAACTTTATTTATGGTGATTGAAAGTTCAGATCCTCAAAAGGATTCCGCAGAAATGTGATGGGACATTACCATTAGTTGTTACACCATTTACTTAGCTGTTATGGTGTCGTTGCCAATATTATGGTGTGACCGAGTGTAGATATGCGCTAATGTGATACAACGGACGGTAACGTACAGACAGGTACTGCTGAGTAGTTAATTTCTACTGACGTGAAAAGGAAAATCGGAAGACCACCAGGTTCATGAAGATATGTGTATTTTCAGACAGGAAAAATTAACTGTCACATGAAAGTGTGAGTGGAAAAGTACGAAAGAGTGTGAATTAACTGTACAATACAAGAGCATATAGGAAATAACTAACACACATGATCCAATAAGACAGATAGTAGTTTTTCTTACCACCACTGGATTCTGATTGGTTGTAATGTCATGTGATAACAAGGTCATACATTGTTTATTTAGTTAATGGACAGACAAGATATATTGTGAGTTATAATGGAATAACGATCAATATACATATAGCCAAATATATCAGACTGTCAAAACAAAGCAGACATCATGTGACTACATATCACTAGCTTCCAAAACTAGTGCATGTAAACAGTCTGTGAGTTGTATTATTAGAATAAACGACTGTCCGGTTTCAGTATATATGATCTGTAATACCAAGTAAACAATATCGAGGTAGTAAATCATTTTTGAGGATGAATAAATGTATCATTAATACGTTTGGGTTGCTAGTTTTGTTGTTATTTCTTATAAATCCAAATGTATCTTCCTATCTATTGTTTATTAATATAGGCTATAATGTTCGATTATTTTATTACCGTATTTTTAGGCATTGGCATTACGAACAGAAGAACACAATCGAGCTATGCAATATTATAAATGTTCCCTATTACCAATACAAAGTTTATTTCAAGAGATAATTGTTGAGCAACGTTTAAATTTTCTTAATATGAATGTACGCTATGTTATTGTTGAAGAGGATAAATCAAGTCAGTGTTGAATTTTAAATATAATAATAATAATAATTATTATTATGAATGAAACATTCTGCGTTGATGGTTCAACGGTAGAATGCTCGCTAACGACACAAGTGGTGAGGAGTTTGATCCCCCAGCTGATACACTCCTAAATTTCCCTTAACCAGTCGTAAGCCTAGTCATCAATAGGGGAAGTTAGGCATGAGGATAGCAACTCCACGCCTTAAGAAAATAATAACACCACTGCTAATGAATCTTCAAAGCTCGAGTGTGAAACCCTATGTTCCACTGGGAACGCAAAGGAATAAAAGAAAAATGAAAGGGAAAAAGTGTGAACATCTGAGATTATATTGCATTTATTTTATTGTTATATGTATTCATTTCCGAGATATACTGTTTCTAACCGCTAGAAAAAATCTTGGTAACAGTTTTCTGAGAGATATATTGTGAAAACAGAAAGATTGAGCGAAGAAATATTTACTTTTCAATTAGATCCTCATCTCTGACTCTAATATATATTTTACGGGTTGATCACGGATTGATATCAGTTAGAGAACCATTGAAAACCAGGGAGTACTGGACAGCTGCTGTTTCATCCTAGTTTGGGAATCATCGGCAGTACTGCCGATGATTCCCAAACTAGGATGAAACAGCAGCTGTCCAGTACTCCCTGGTTTTCAATGGTTCTCTAACTGATATCAATCCGTGATCAACCCGTAAAACAAAACTAATCCTTACAAACCAAACTATAGAAAATCTAATATATATAGCATTTTAATCACAATACAACAATTTGCCAATCAAGTAGCGATAAGTTTGATAACACAATAATTAAACAGTGTCAAAATGTCAATGGGTTAATAATTAACGAAGAAAATTAATACAGATTTTTGTCCTTTGCTTAACCACGTTGGATGATGTTCGGAAATACAACGATGAACTTGCCTAATTGTACGCCCAATGTAGCTGGCTCCGCAGCTGCAGTCAAACTGGTAGATACACATAGAGGAGGTGAACTTAGGTAGTTTATCCTTATTTCTCGAACATAAAATAGGGGTGGTTGTGAAGAAACAACGTACCTCTGCTGCATAATAAGCTCTTTTAACTGCATTCCTCAGGCGCTGTGTTATTATTTCGCTGATGTTGTCACCGAGGAACTGAAATTTTATAAACATTGGTTTTTTCGGAACTGTGGCCATACTGACTCTCCTTGGTACTCACTTCATATTTTTCTTAATCAATTTATCTGGATAACCATTTTTTTTCTAAGCAATTCTCTAATAATCTTAAGCTCCTCATTAAGGCAGTCGTCTGAACAGATTAACCTAGCCCTTTAATCAAATTTCAAAAATCATTACCCATAATACAACACAATACTCCCAACCTCAGTAAGATAAAATGATACATATATTGTCCGCTTAACATAAAATCGAGCAGCATAGTTCTTCAGAAGTACATTAGGCATGGATTATGAATTAACTTATGAACTCAAGTGATGAATTATCTCATAAAAGTATCGCAAATTGAAGAGTCATAATTTCAACCCACTGATTGAATTTTGACAATGTTTATTGTAAGACCGGATTAATTTTGATTTGATATAATTTTAAATAGGCTGAAATGTAAGCGAAATAGTTGTTTAGGATTAATAGTCCTATTTATTGTGTTAGGGTCAATAGTACTACCCACTAAAGATAGGTGGGGTGGGATTCGAACCCGGAATCCCACTGCTTGACAGTCGACGGTATAAGTCAATGAGTCACACTTCCAAATAAGCACCACCGAGACGTATCTTCAGTAGCAGAATATAGCCAATTCCATCGAAACAACACCCTTCGTATTTTTACCGCATACAAACGAGTTAGAGCTTTCAAAGAAAAGTTGTGAGAATTACCCTGTGGAAATGGAGTTCCATCCAATGGAGTCTTTTTTTCACTTTACAATGAATCATTGAATAATACAGCCATTTGTAATTTGTTTACGCCTCGATATCGATATACATGTTTAGAGTTTCGATAATATATCTAGGGAAATGAACACGTCACAATGACATATCATTATGTATTAACAAAATTTTAAATAATTTTATTAACTTTGGTGAAGTGATATCTGAGATTAATTTGAACAAAACGGATTTTGAATCTCGTTACTAAAACATAAGCACAGAAGTTCTATCTATTTAAAGTACCGCTTTTTAGTGACAATCATTTACAAATCAGATTTATGCACTATCTATACCGAAAATTACAATACCTGAGATGACATAATTTATGACGATACAAAAGAAAGCAAATTTTAAATGATGAAATATATTAAATAATAGATTGGAAGGGAGAATATCACGTAAAATTCTTCCCAGAGAATTTGTGATCGTTTCGAATTATTAATGATAAATAAAAAGCATGGCAGAGATACTGGTTGTGGTCAATAGATTGCATAATATAGCCATCCTTTTTCACTCACTGTTTCATAATGTGCACCAACAAATGTTTAATCCCACTTAAATACTTGTTTCCTATTGTAACAACAGAAGACAAGGGCCGGCAACAGACCATTTTATTACGGAAATCAGCACGTATTTATATATATTTCATGTACATTATCACAGCCTATTCAAGTAGACGAACGCAGTCTTCTGATTGGTTGTTTTCGAGGTTTCTCGGAAAGTGGAGCCATCTATCTGCGAATCATATTTGCCCACATTTAAGTCTGCTGTGATTGGTTGTTCATATTTTCTCACGGCCAATATTAGTGACCTAGACATTAACGTAGATTAATGTCTACCAATTGGCTAGCAGCCTGCTCTCACCACACTATGATATCATTTCACGTATATATATGTAGTTTCCCACAATGTCTTTTTTGTTTAAATTTTATAGATTTAAGAAATCTTTTCCGGTTGTTATCTCCAAATAATCTTTGCAGTGAATTATTGAATTGTTTCGGTGAACATGTTCGAACAAGCATAATAGAAGCGATATCCAATCTTCCAAAAGATACTGCTGTAAGTTGTTTAAACTATGTGGTATATATATATATATATATATATATATATATATGTACTTAAGAAGCACCATATTGAAAGTTATTTATGTAATGGATAAAAATCTGTTGAGGATGGAATGCATTCGTATTTTCTGCCTTTTCCGCAGCTCTAGTCATTCACATTCGTAAGCCTGGTCTTTACAAACAAACAAAAAACTCGTGTAACGACTTCTATCTTGATCTTGATGTACAGTTTGACTTTCCAGCATTATTATTTCTATATTTTCTGAGTGTTATTAAAAAAATTATTCATGGCATAATTAGTGATGCACCTCATTGGCTTAAACTTTTAGCCAGTGGATCCCACTTTCAAACTACTCTCTATCATCGATTAATACTTGGTCAACCGGATAGTATCTTCATCTCATAGCTTGCTTGATCTGTTCCGCGTAGTCGAGTTTTGAATAGATATTGTAATTATTAGTTTTGATGTTACCTCTTTAAACTACTCTTTCCATTTATCTTAATATATTTTTAAAAACATTTTCTCTACTCACTGTTGTTTCTGAGCTCTTCCTTATATACGTCTGATTTTTAAATACACTATAGTATTGTTCAACTGCTAGTTTGGATTCCCCCTGCCCCCCTGTCCACACAAATGATAGACACGTACACTACACTTGATTGTTAATCATTGGCTGTTTAATCATCACCTGGTATATACTAATTGATGCCGAGTTAACTATATCGGGCACCTTGCTAAGTTAATCCGATACGTTTGGATAATTATGTTCGAATTTGCATTCATATTTAGCTGAATACAAGTGATTATCAGTGTAGAGTGAATTTATGTGGTGACTCACTTTTCGGTTACTATTTTTTACGAGTTGATCACGGATTGATATCAGTTAGAGAACCATTGAAAACCAGGGAGTACTGGACAGCTGCTGTTTCATCCTAGTTTGGGAATCATCGGCAGTACGCACCCACTGGGATTCGAACCCAGCACCTTCCGGTTACAAGGCAAGCTCGTATACCTTACAAACCAAAACTATAGAAGGTTACTATTTGTTAAATTTTCATTTTAATTAATTCTTAAGTTCAGTGAGGTAGTTTAGATAAATTTACTTTAAATATTTGTATCACAGTTCATTTGATCGGACTTTAATTTACAGTTCTATACTACCACTGGTATTTCAAGATCTGAAGATTTTGGAACAAACTAATTGATCCATAAACCATGAGCTTCAGCTAAATTTTCTACATATATGACTGATTTCAGATAGATCAAATGATGTAGGTTCGTAAATATTCAGATACGAATGTTAGGTTATGCTCATTCTACATTCGGACTAATTCGATTGTTAGTAATGTCTTCATATGGACAGTTTTTAAATTCCCTCGATCGTTATTAGTGATTGTCTGTCTGTTTTCGACATAGAAATTTGCACATATGTGCACCAGTTCAAGTCGCCACACTCCATGTAGCCCACAAAACAAGAGAAGAAAGTAGAAGAAAAGCATAATAGAGACAGTAAACACAGGTGGGAGAAAAAGGAATAGTAGTAACGAAGAACAACATAGCTTAACTGGAAATCATAAGTCACAAGGAGTGGATGCATCTGCACCAGCCATTGAGAACGATTTTGAGCCATATCACCAATTGTTTCCAGCCATTTGTTTTTACCGTCCCGAGGACCCCAACCAGGAGGCCAGTCTACACCTTCCTACGTAGATAGCTTAAACTAACTGTTGTAGATTTCATTGACTGGTGAAGCCATGTTTTTGTTTGACTGCCGCTAGCTCTTTTCCAGACTAACCCTATGTCAGCTAACATTGCTCGTCGGTCGAGGAAGGCGATGACTAAACATACGTAACACATGTCCTAACCATCTCAGTCTATGTAACTTCACAACCTCGTCGATTGATTTCCCCTGTTCACCTAGCACTCGACCGAAGCCTAACCTCAATATTGCTCACCTTATTATACCACTTCACACGGGAGATAGAACGCAGGCACCTATGATCAAAGACAGCTAATCTTTTCATATTTTCCAGTCTCAATGGGCCAGGTCTCTCTCACAGCCATTAAGGAGGACGGAGCGGACTGATGAGCAGTACACCCGCCCTTTGGTCGATAGTCGGATATCACGTCTACGCCAGAGACGGCATAAACTGGTATATGCGAACTAGCCATGTGTATCCGTGCTGAAATTTCGTCAGAGATCAACCCGTTGGGGCTGATGGTACTTCTCAAATAAGTGAAGCGGTCAACGTGCTCTACCACTTCACTTCCTATTTCTAATCTAGGAGTCCGTGTAATCCAGTCCTGTAACATCTTACATTTGGCGGGAGCGAATCGCATGCCAAACATTCGTAGATTGCAGCTCAAGGTGTTCAGAAGACTCTACATTTTGTCAGCATCCTCACCTAGCAGGACTATATCGTCTGCATATTCTAAGTCAGCGAGATTATTCCCTGATAGCAAGTCAATCCCTGAGTCTTTGAAGTGAGTTAGGGTTAAGTCCATTGGTGATTAGATCAATATTATCCTTTGTAGTGAATATTTTCATCGGAAGCGGTTGTTTTTTTACATCATATACGCGGTTGTTGGTCTCTTGGATTAAAGTATCCACTTATTTCAAGATTCACATAGTATTTCCATATCAAAATTAATTTGTGGTTACTCTTCATGGACTGCGATCTCCACTATTGTGCTTAGGATAGTTAGCAGAAAACTTTGTTGCATAACAAGTTTGTCTAACATTGAAACTATGAAAAACGTGACTAAACGTAGCCCTTCTTGTTTACTATTATTATTATTCCCTTCGGTTCCTAGTGGAACACAGAACTTCAGAAAAAAATTGCCATTTCACTCTGTTTTCTACAGTCTCTGTTAACTTGTTCCGCAACTGCCCATAAGTTTACATTGCATCATTGCATAATTCCCTTTAAGTCATAGTCGGACAGTCAACTCGTCATTTCAATTTATACTAGTCACTGATTTAGATAAGAAAGCATATTAATTCTTGGTTGCAAATGATATCAGAATATACTCCATAGTATTATGAATTTATGCGGTATTTTATAGATTGAAAAAAAAACACAAGCTTTTTACATAACATTTATAGAATTAATCTTTCTGCTTTAATTAGTATATATCTATTATTTTGTTGATTTCTTCAGTTAACCCAGGTGTATTTTGTTGAAAGTCTTTTGAATCTTCGAAGCAGATTTTTGGATTATATTGATGATGTTTTTGATGGAAAAACTGCTTTTCGTAATCAAATGGATAAAGCTTTCAATTTGGCTGTGAATGGTCGTGTACCGTCGACAGGTATTCTAGCTTCAACATCTCGGTAAGTAGCTTATATATATATATATATATATATATTACATGAAGTGGTTCAATATGTTGAGTAATTTTGAAGTTAGGTGTTGAGTATTAAGCGAGGATATTATGTCAATCGATGACGTTATAAAACTACGTCGGCTGAGTGGGCTTGAATGTTTATTACTCCTGATAAGCCTCCACCTTTCTTATCGGGGAATGCTAGCTGATATTAAATTAAGTTGGAAAAGAGTAAGGGATGGTTATGTTAGAACATGGAATCGGTCGATAAGGTATTCGATCGTTGGTTTGAGCCGCATAAGAAGTTGCAGACTACCTGGTTGGAGTCCTCCAGATGCTCACGTGACTGTTGGTGATATGGCTGTAAATCGTTCTCAATGGTACAGATGTCTTCACTCTTTGTAATCTTCAGATGCATTTAGTCCTTCTGTTCGTTCATGTTAACACTCTTTCTCCCACATATTTCTGCTCATCTTAGTCCTGAACTATTCCCTCTGCCATTGTATGTTACATGGAGGATGGCAGTTTAAACTGCTACACTTCTGTGCAAATTTCTATGTTCTAACTCAGTCAGTCAGGATATAAAATTAGGTTTGATCGGTTACTATAGTATACTATACTGTTTGAAGGCTGTAAGAAGTTAGTCTTCTTTGCCCTGTATTTGCCATTAATCATATATTTATTCAAGTTTTGGTTTGCAAGAATTTGATCTGATTGGATATCATCATGAGCTAACATCATGAATTGGCAAAGGTTGGAATTTATGGGCCATTGGATTAGGTCCCAGTGGCTTAATGGTCTACAAACTCACTTTGTAACCAGAAGGTCCTGGGTTCAAACCCCGGTGGGTGAGTACCACTGAAGAGTCCCACCCTAGGACAAAACAGCTGTCCAGTACTCCTAGGTTTTCTGATGGTTCTCTAACCGGTTTCAGCTCATGATGAAATCTTGTAACCAGTTACATTTTTACTCCACGATAGGAATTAGCTTTAAAATGACATCTATAATGCAAGCAATGGCGAAGTTAAAGTATCATAACCAAAGTCAAGATCTTTCAAATGTTGACCTTCAAGAACCAATCGGACACAGGGAGTGCTATGAAAGGTCATTCAAAATTAACTCAAGTCTACCCTTTTGGACCTAAAGAAGACAGATACAGCATTCCACTTATTCCCCTTACTTTTTCTGCGAATCTCTACTGTTAGATAGGGTTATGAATTTTTAGATTAAGGTTTAGTGTTTAGGGTTAACGTTGGGATTATGGTTAGAGCTAGGAGTAGGTTAAAGAACAGTGTCAGAAATCTCAATAGATCTCAAAGTACTATTGTAACGACCCGGCCGACAACTGCTACCTTGCCATGGGGGTCGGGCTTGAATACCGCAGTGACCCAACAAGCTAAACTGGCTGGGACTTATGTCCCTGCAGGTCCTACCATGTCAGGAAGGTTGTTTGGATAGCGGTTAGACTAAAAGCAGTTACCACGGGGTGTACATGGGCCCCAGAATCCAATCGGATCAAATGGCGTATGAACCCATATGCGTCACCGTCAACCATGGGAATGCAGTTCCTGACGCTGCTCTGCTGCCTTGTGGATTAGACTCCAAGTCAAAGGCTCGCGAGGTGGTCCCTTAATAAAACCACCTGCTTCGGTCTGGGCGCCCGGGCAGTGTCTCAGCCCTCACGCAACATTGTGTGGCGCATCCTTCTTGGTGCCATATTGTACCAAGTTTTTTTCTGCGTTCAAACAAAATAAAATCGTAACGACAGAAGCCAAGGGCCAGGCAATTCCTTTATTGAGAAAATCAACAGATATTTATAGATTTTTATGTACATTATTATTCGTTATTGTTAGCAGAGAAACGTCTTGTGACTGGCTGTTTTCCTTCTGAAGTTTATTCTGTCATCTCTTTGTTGCCGTTTCTTAGACAGTCGTTTGATATATATCTGCTAATCGTATCCGCCCACGCTAAGTCTGCTGTGATTGGTTGTTGAGTTAGTCTTTGTTCTTGTTTTCTTCTGATGACCAAGATTTGGGACGTAAACATTGACGTACATTGCTGTCTACCGATTTCGGCTAGCAGACATTTCTCACCACACTATGACCTACAGTCATGTAGATAAATGCATCTATCACTCATGGTATGATTTCTGTATAGATCATCTGTGTAGTGACCACGAAACATTCTTAAAACATATAAACGACAATTATATAGGGTAATATCATGTCGTAATGTTTAGTGCATTTTTCAACGATCATGCGACTTTTTTGTATCTGAATTCTGATTGGTTGTTCGAGGTCATTGTGGTTTTGGCTATGATAGTTGCACTTTGCCCAAGTAATTTTTATAATGTTCATTTTTCTTAAAGAATCGGAATCAGTAGTAGTAATACTGTTTTATTCATAATTGCCCTATTATGCTAATGTTTATGAGTTGCACATAGAGACTCATTTTTACGATTGTGTAGAATGCCAATAAGTGTTTGTGTGGTATAAATTCACATGACTGTAGGTGAAGCATGACTTACTACAACTATTATATGTGCTAGCAAAATTAGAGGGAAACAATTAGCATCAAGGTTACTAGGGGGTTCCATTTATCAGTTTATTTTTTTATCAATATTGAAGGATCACGGATAAGATGCATGTAATTCTTAATGTTTCTCTATGTTTTATGGTTGACAGTGGCTAGCGCTAGCAGTGGAATCCAGATTTCTTAATTCGCGCTCTTTAGGACTCCATTAGCTGGATATACCTGTATCCTTAGTGAGTGATAATATTCGTATTGGGACTTGAACGTAGCATCTGCTGTTGCAAACGGTAAAGCTAGCCAATATTTCGATAGATACCTAGCATGTCGGTTCAGTAGAAATCAATCAACTGGGGATACAAATTAGCTTAGATAACAACTAATGCTTGTTGCATAACAAGTGGCTGTCGTGACTTAAGCGCAATAAAACGGCCTTATACTCCCGCCACCATTTGTTTGGCATTTTCTAACCGGCCAATTAGGATTGCTGAAGCGAAAGATAAGCCGTCTAGCTGTCCCACTCCTATGTTTTGTATCTACAAATTTAGCTGCTCCTGCAGGGATAGCTATATAGGGTGAACAACTAGACAGCGCAGTAAACGTTATTAATGAGCATTTTCCTTCATGACTCGAAAATGGCCAAGGTAAATCTATAAGAAGTTCGATTTCGTCTCATGTGATTGATGATAGCAGCCACCAAGTAGCCAGAAAAAGTGTCTTCAGAGTTGTCTTATCACCTCCCATAGAACCGTTCTAACGGAATTCGAAACCGCCTTTTTTACACATGACCGAAGCCATGGGAATTAATTCGAGAGAACAATCCTAGTATATTATTATTATTATTACTATTATTATTATTTGATCCATAAACTCACCGTCAGTGGTTAAAATTGTTATATATAAATCTATGTAAATCAGAATAAAGCCTGAAGATCTAATTAAAGTCAATATTGTTCGCTTACATGTCTTGTTCCAATGTTAATAATGGGAATGTATATTTATTTTTTTTCAAAAACAATAATTGTATGCATAAATAAGTTGTATTTTCCATAGACTAATTGACTTGTTTGTCTATGTACTTTTAGTCAAACTAACTATAGACCATCAGAATTATTATGCCGATATATGGATTCTTTACTGCGTAAATCTATCAAAACAATGTCCAGTTCTGACATTGAGAATAAACTTACAGCTTCAATAGCTATTTTCAAGTATATTGATGATAAAGATCTTTTCCAAAAGGTTAGTGGTATATAGGTGTTGAAAAATGCTGATTTTTGAATTGTTTATATAAGCTACACTTTTATTGTTGACTGACTACAGAGTAATTTTCATTGACCAGATAAGCCATTGTCTCGATTTTTTCTAACCATCCGAAAACTTTATGTATCCAAATCATACTATGCCAGTTTATACTAATCTTTCAAATTTCTTATTACTTACCTGTTTACCGATTGCTTTACAACTAGACCCTCATTATTGGTGGTATATTTATCATATAGTCTAGTCTATGCCCAGCTTCCATGTCAAAATTCTTTTTAGAAATTAATTGGTGTATGGTGACTAGCAGTGGAATCCAAAATGTGCATTTCGTCCTATCTGGGACTTGTCACCTGGATGTACCTGCATTCTGCAGTAACTGATGATGTTCCCACCGAGGCTGGAACCCAGTGCCCATAGTTTCAAACGCCAAAGCGTTATCCACTAGACCTCTTGTGCAACTGGTCACATTAATTATTGAATTGAATTGTAGATTTTCCCGCTGATTGATTGGACCGAAGTACTTGGTCTCAGGTTGACATGTCACCTTCTTGTGGTCTAGTGGATAACGCTTTAGCATTTGAAACTATAAGCACTGGATTCGAACTTCTGGGAGCATCATCATCACTCGCTGATCGGGGAATGCAGATACATCCATTTGACGAGTCCCAAACGGGACGAAGTCCGTATTCTGGATTCCACTGCCAGTCACCATCCACCAACTGACATCTAATTACTTGCCCAGACATCGTCGAAGCATCTGCACAAGAAGCCGACCTGAGACCAAGCACTTCGGGTCCATTCAACCGACGGGAAAACCTAAAATTGAATTAAAATGCTTTTTAGTCTAACAATGGCGTATTGTGAGCTTGTCCTTGATATGAGCATTCGGATATCCCGTAAGAATAACCAGTGTTGTACGTTTACATTGCATTCTAATTTCCTATATTGTTGCAAATTTCATGGAGAGAAAGAGAGATAGAATCGTTGTGCCTCAGATAAACAACATTTGTTGTCATTATCTTACACAAAAACTTTTCACGGTATAAGTTCATTCCTGCTACTGTTATATATCATCCAGATTTTGCTTTTCTTGTTATAGGACAAGTTAAAGTTTGGGAGCTAAAGATTTCAGAAATTTTAACGAAATGTGTGTTGAATAACCTGTATTTTAACTTTTTAAGAAATAAAATGAAATTGTTCCAGTTTTCCAAGTATAGAAGAACGCAACTTCTTCGTGTATTTACTAGGGACGTCTTCTGTCTTCCATTATGGGTAAAGTTTGTTTTGATAAAGTCTCACAGTGTTATACAGTAATGTTTACTGTTGACGTCTGTCTGGCACATTCAACCAAACTTTATTGTAAAAATACTTCGTTTAAAAATCTATTGCATGAACCAGGAAGGTGATCCAACATGGTCTAAATATCTGTCTGTATTCAGTGCTGTGTTTTATGTGTCACCGCACAATTTTATCTGTCGCCCTTCACCATTGTCATGCATATTTGTGTACTAATTAGTGTGTCTTATTGAGACTGAATGGTGGTAGTCGGGTGAAAACGCTGTGAAACAGGAGAAAAAAACATAACAGAGTGTGATTACTAAAGAATTCCAGTGGAAAAGCTTATTTATGGATGGATTTACACCAAGAATCTTCGAATATGTCGTTATTTTACCTTGTATTATTATTATTGCTCCCTTGGGTTCCTAGTGGAACATAGGGCTTCAACTGCACGTCTCCATTTGCTTCTGTCTTCTGTTGTACTTTTCACCTGCATCCATGTTGGTCCATACTCTTTCAACTTCTCTTCACACGATCTCCTCCATGTCACCCTTAGACGTCCCACTCGAGAACTTGACGCGCGATGTCACCCAGCGGTCTCCTCAGTAAGTGTCCGATCCATCTCCACTTTCTCCTGCATATTTGTTGGGTGATTGGTTCTTGCTTTGTTTGTTCCCATAGTTCCTTGTTGGTGATTCTTACCGGCCCGGCCATCTGATTGATCTTAAGTATAGAGCCAGCGAAGCCAGTTGTTGATAAAGGTAACGTCTGCAACAGGCTGTTGGAAATATTCTTTGTGACCCGCCCGCCATGTTTCTGATCCGTATAGGAGAAGTGACTGGTTTGACGTTTGTATTGAAGCTCCGAATTTTGTTGATGACACTGAGTGACGAAGACTTCCAGATTGGTTTCAGGTTGATGAATGTGTTTCTCGCTCGCCTTCCTGATTCTCGCTTGGTTTGACATCCTCATCCGTTCCGACTTCCTGTAGTTGAGACAATGCTCCCTAGATAAGTGAATGAAGTAACATCTTTCAAATCCCTCCCGCTGATGGTGATTGGCTGGATGTTGCTGTTGGTTGGTCGGTTATTTTAATCACCTCCGTCTTGTCTATGTTCACTTGGAGTGCTGTCTTCGCCGGCTGCTTCTTCGACCAGTTTGTCGGTTTTCGCTTGTAAGTCTTCGATTTTGTGTGACAGCAAACATAAATCATCCACGCACGAAATCCAGGTCTTCTAGGTTCTTCACGTCGGTCCAGGATATCCCTGTCTTCTCGTTTCCCACTCGCCGTCTGACGCATAATTCAGTCCACCACAATTAGGAATGTCATTGGTGATAGTAAGCACTCTTGTCTGACTCCTGTGTTTACTCCAAACGCCTCGCTGAGTCTTCCGTTGTGGATCACTTGGCAGGTGCTGTTGTCGTACAGCTGTTGAATAAGGTTGATGAATATTTGAGGTACGCCATAGTACTCGAGTAATTTCCAAATTACTTCACGATCAACGCTGTCGAAGGCCTTCTCAAAGTCTATAAAGTTGAGGTAGAGGTTTGATTGCCATTCTATGCTTTATTCGATGGTGATGCGTATATCATACTGTGGCGTGTGTTACTGATAAGATTTATCAGTAGTATATATAAAGAGACGTTCATCGGCACAAAAATACCAGTTAGCCGAGTGATAGACTTGACATCAAAGAGAGCAAATGAACCAGTGTTGCGACAAAACATAGGAGACACAAAAAGAAGACGAAAAATAACGCTACGAATGGCGAAAGTAGCACAACATAGATCTGTGCTAATGACGACTTTCAGTGCAGGTGCAGTGCACATAATTTCACTATATTATTTTTTTATCCTTCTCGTTTTCCAGTGGAACATAGGGCTTCAAGCTAGTGACTTGAAGTTTCTGTAGCATTGTTTGTTTTACGGGATGAGGTCGCTAACCACATGCCCGACGTTTCCTCTCTACCAGCATTATTTCTGGCTTAGTGAGGTAAAGGAGTGCGTCGGTGACCGAACCCCGGACCATGTGCATTGTCGGCGAGTGTCTTAACCGCTATGCCACCGACGCTATATAGAGACACGAAATTCCAATAAACATTCCTTTATCAAGTCTCACTTGTCTTCTACCGTTACAATACCATAACATCAACTTTATTCTTTAATATGAAACCTATCTCATATGTTTTCACTGGCAAAAGTGTATCCTGTCAGAATTATATATCTAGAATTAATGTGTGTACACTTTCGATGATCATTTTTCGTCTTCTTCTTGTTCAGTATTATCAACGTTTGTTATGTAAAAGACTAGTGTTCAATTATTCTTCAATGTTGGAACTTGAAGAATCTGTCATTAATCAGTTGAAAACTGTTTGTGGTTATGAGTTTACTTCAAAATTTCAACGAATGTTTAGTGATGTTCAAATCTGTCCTGAAATGAATCGAAAATTCACAGAATATTTACAATCTAAAGATGTACATTTCACATTCGGTCATCACTTTCATGTTTTAACAGTAAGTTAACTGAAGCGTGTATGTTTTATTTATGCATTTTTGTGTGATTTATCCTCTTTATCATCATAATTTGAAAAACAGTCATTTAGTCATTGAATGTTTTTTCTCTAAAGAGAGTTAAAAATCTCTGTTAGAAATGTGAATACAATAAGCCACACTGAATTCATATTTCAGAGATACAAACAACCAAAGGAAGTAAATGTTAGCACAAAGTCGTACAAAAATTGTGTTCTATGAAAGCTGTTTGAACTTAAGTTCTGTGTGTTGTGGAAAAAAAATAAACTAAATTCTTTATTGGATACGTGATCTATTTTGACACATAATTTGCTTCTACCATCATATAGCTCCTCAAACGTTGCATCGCACCCATTTGAAGGAGTTGGTTGTACCCAGTGGTAGAACTGGCTTTACACTATTTATATAGTGGGTTTTGTTTCTAATAATGTGCTTAGGAATCACAGTCTGAATGTTCTAAACCCACTTTCTTTTTGATGACTTGTGAGCGACTGGCCCTATTCAGGTAGGTATTTGCCTGGGTTCTAGTGGAAAGTTGTGACCAGTAGGGTGGTCGGGTGTGAGGACAAATATTCGCCGTAGACATTGGCTAGCGGTCGTGCTGTTTCGTCAATTGGCAGAAGTTAGAAAACACAGGCCTTTGGATCGCGTCCCAGTGTCTGAATGGTCTACGAGCTAGCTCGCCTTGTAACCAGAAAGTCGTGGCTTCGACCCCCGGTGGGTGCGTACTGCTGGAGAGTCCCAAACCGGGACGAAACAGCTGTTTAGTACTCTCAGGTTTTCCAATGGTTCTCCAACCGATGTTAGCTCATGATGAAATCCTGTAACCAATTAATCAAATCCCTACAAACCAATACTTGAGTGTTGTTTTAGCCTGCGTGATATATATATGGTACATGGCTTTGAAATGCATTTTATATGATTATTTAAAAGCACAAGTTTTTATGAGGTTGGAATTTTCCCTGCCATCAGGTGGCGACAACATTGGTTTTATATATATATATATATCCTTCTAAATCGATCCAGATTCATCTATACCTTCTTAATTAACTATAAACAGTGGAGTTATTAAGGTGGATTATACAGTAAAAGTTGGTGGATATTATATCACCTGATCCAGACCCTTCAGGTCAATAATTTAAAAAACTACAACTGGCTAACAGGTCAAGAGTTACAGTGGTAGAACCTGTAGGTAGTATCAATAAAATTCAGATAAAACGGGTGGTGAAATCCTCCTATGAAGTAAATGACTAATTTGTTGTGTGAATTCACTTAACTGTAGGCAGTCGCAAACGAGAGTCCTAAAAGGAAAAAAAATCCCTCTTAACATGCATCAATCTTATTTCACTCAAACTTTGCATCAGGTATTCAGTCCCCAGAACGGATATCCACATATCATAAGATTATTAAAGTTAGACCATAATCGATTGCTCTGTATTACATTTTTATCTAAAGTAACACCTTAATGTAGTGGGTTATTTGTGTCAAAATGTTGCTTATTCTCCTTTTTTATTTTTGTTTTTCCTTCTAGCAATGTTCTTGGCCAATCACACTTAACGGAGTAACAGATTTTCTTCTTCCACTTGATTTATATACATGTACTTATCATTTTGAAGAGTTTTATGGTGCTGCTCATCAAGGCAGAAAAATGAGATGGGCGCATAGTTATTCAACAGCAGAAATTCAATTACTTTTTACTGACAAAGCCTATCAGATTCAAGCTCCAGCTATTCATGCAGCTATTCTACTGTTCTTCGATCATGTTGATTCAGATCGTATAACAGTAAAAGATTTATACTTAGGTTTACAATTAACAGTATCTGATGGCAGGACTACTACTATTGGTGGTGGAAACAACAATCCTGTAACTAAAGGCAATACTCCTTCTGTTGAATCAGTTAATACCAGTAAGATGGAGACTTGTTCTCAAGATACACTTACTTCTTCAAGTGAACTGGATACAATCCAACGACTTTTAGCTCCCTTGATTGAGTTAAACATAATATATGTAGAGTCAAATGAAGAACAAAGTAATTCTTCATCGAGTACCCCTTTGAAGGTTAGTAGAATTAAATTATCACTTAATGAATCCACATTCCTTGTAGATGGAAAGTATTATTGTCTTGAATCGTTCGTTCACAAACAAACGTTTAAAGTTAAGGGTGAATTTTTCTTCTCAAGGGAAAGAATCGAATCAGGTATGCTGTTTTACTGTGTTTTTTAATTCTATTTCTGTGAATCAAATGTTCATGGGAATCGAACGAAAAAAATTGTTTGTTTTTCGATAACGCATAGTGTCTTTGAAATAATTGTTAGTTTTTTGACTTTTCGTTAATTAACTTGCTACCATCAGTGCGTCGGTGATACAGCGGTTAGGACGCTCGCCGACCATGCACATGGTCCGGGGTTCGATCCCCGGTCACCGACTCACTCCTTTACCTCGCTAAGCCAGAAATAATGCTGGTAAAGAGGAAAGGTTGGGCATGAGGCTAGCGACCCCATCCTCTACAAATAAACACGGCTACAGAAACTTCAAGCCCCTAGCTTGAAGCCCTATGTTCCACTGGGGAACGTGAAGGAAAAATTAAAATTATTATAACTTGCTACCTTCAGATCGATAAATTACAACTCGATGAGTATCTAATAGAAATGTAAATGCCTCTTCACCGAATTTTTCACTTTGTGTAAATGAAGATTTGCACCAAATGAAGGATGCAGTTTTTAAAAAGAATGACGACCTCACACAATTTGTGTAAATTTCATAATTGAAACAGTGATGCTCTCTGATTTGATTGAAAACTGATAGTCTTTGCCTTTCTTACACCATGATTCTTAATTGTAATACAAAGTAAAATGGTCTGTATTTTCGTAATTCATTCACAATCGACAGAGCTTCAGAACTTTATTGATGGACTTACCGTCTTTACGTAACCTCATTATTTTACTTGCCATTTACTAGCCCTACTTCACACAAACAGTTGAACGTAGGGACTCATGATTGAAAACCTGATATCTACTTTTAACTGCTATATTTCATAGTCGTAAGTTTCAACGTATTTCACCACCTAACTTCCTATTTTTAAACAAGAAGTTGATCTGCATCAGATCTCCAGCATCATTTTTACACTTGACAAAGACGAATCGCATGCCAAACGCGTATTCAGATTTCTCTACATTTTGTCATTGTCTTCATTTAAAAGCATTATAACGTTTATATGCTGTAAATCAACGAGATCTCTGTTTCATAGTAAGTCAATTCCGAAGCTAATTAAATGTATGTGGATTATTTCACTTAGGAATTTGCGTCAACCTAATGAAGTGGTTGCTGACGAAGTCTCAGCAAAAGGCTCATTTGGCATTTACCAACTTGCTTCATCTCCGGTGTGCTTGTGATTCTTAGTTTTCCATCTAATGACACGTGTACTGCGCTTTAATTCGCTTCATCTTACTTTACGGCTGTGATACATATCCACTGAATGTAGGAGACATGAAGAGGCTAGCTATCCGTATTCCACTACTTGTGTAATGCGGAATATGATCAGTAATATGTAGGATTAGATAAGGACGAAAACCAGTCGATGAGGTTGTGAAGCTGTATCGATTGTGTTCACCTTCTGTGATCTCCCTAAATAATTTAGTGGTTGACTATACTCCACTATACTCACATATTGATTCGTTTATTGGATACATCACACAATGAGGCAGTGTTATTCACTGGATGACGTTTTAAACACACTTTGTGGTCTATTGTATCTACACAACTTTGGCACTTAATAATTATCGATTTTATTGATCAGGGAGTACACAGTAAGTTATAAGAATAGAAGTAATAATAACAAGGACAACGCAAATGCCAAACCTTCACGGCGAGATGGTATCACCACGAAGGGGGAATTCAAGACATCAACAGTCTTCCCATAAAACCTTACGTGAGATTCTTGAAAAGGCTGGAATAAATGTGGTATTCGAACCCAAACTCACTTAGAAACAAATTTTGTCAGTTAAAGGGTTCTGTGGAGCCCATTAGAAGAAATAATTTAATTTACTAAATACCATGGAACGATAGTGATGTCTAAGCAGTAGTAGGTCAGGGTAAATTAGATTAGCGGAGCATAGAGACTTGAAAAAAAATCTTGACTAATAGACCCTAATAAAATTGAGAGTCTTGAAAACAGGTCGGCTATAACACTATATTTAGTTACACATAACCACACAATAGGATGGGACGGGTAATAGTCTTAAAATCTAATGTAACAGGGTGGAGGGAGACATTGGTAAGTGAAGCTTTATCTATCAAATCAACCGGAAAATACATGCAACAGTAATGATTCAACATCTGAAAGATCCTACTAACCTTAGAACCAAGGGAAGAGGAGGAATATAAGATTGAATGGTTACTATCCATACGGTTATGAACAGTAGATTGTATTCGAAGCATCATTCAGCGAATACTACTGCTTCACTGTCATATATACCATGAGTAAATTAATGTGGAATTACGTAATAACATTGTTCAAGTTTTGCGCATACATTGCCTATACTATTATAACTCCTCGAAGTAACGTTAATATGAAGATAATGAACTTAACTTATCCTTTTTTTCTCTCACAGTCTGAAGTGGATCAGGTTGATCGTCAGGTACACGACGATCGACGCTTCTACGTACAAGCAGCTATAGTACGTATCCTCAAAGCCAGAAGACAAATAAAGCATGCAGCCCTTATCGAAACTATTGTACAACAAGCAAGTAATCGGTTCCAGCCTCCAATACCGTTGATTAAGCGTTGCATCGAAAATCTAATAGATACTGGTTACCTAGAAAGAAATCCAGATGATCCTGATCAATATAGTTATCTTGCATAATAACAAAAATGTTTTTTATTTTTCTAAACAGTCGCATTTTTTTAGTAAATAACAAAACGTTTTAGTAACGTATACAATAATGCGATGCCATGTGTATTAAATCGCTCCTGTTTTACCGAGTTGCTCCTTTAATATCATAATACTACGTCGTTGATCTTCCGGTAAAAGTGTAAGTTGTTCATCTGACAGTTGAAGAACTTGCATTATAAGTGTAACTTTTTCTTGTTCTCCTTGTCCTGCTAGAAGACTGTTAGGTCCCATGCTAGCAGCGGCGGCTGCAGCAGCTGCAGGTGTGATCTGCTAATCAGGGAATAGAAAAAGAGAAATCAGATAATCTCAAAAGGCATTTATGTCTTACTTATAGAAACATAAGACACATAAACGCACAAATAAAGTGAAAAGCCCACAATAGTGGAAATCTGCTTTGGTACTCAATATCAGTTGTAGACTTTAAGAATTACTTGATTAACGTGTGTGTAACATTGTTTAGAAAGCTACACTCATAATGTCAGGCAAGCATGTAATGCTCTCTCCAAAATTACAGCGACCTCTGTGTTATACGAACAACCGAAGTAATCTTTGTAAAAGTGTGCTTCAAAAGTCACATGACGACAAAGAAAGTTGGTATATCAGAAAGACTTACACAGATTGCTTTGTTGAAAACAAACAGATGACTAGTGGAGGTGCTATATGTTGCGATACGAATGGTATGCATTGAGGTTATTATCCCTTGCATCGATCCTTTTGGCCCACGACTTTTAAACCAGCTATCGCTAGTATGAGCTGATATCTAATCGATGGGTGGATATTATAAAACTGCACTTTGTCGTTTATTGTCTTGACTTAATTCCCTGTGCATAAAAACCGTTTCGAAAAAAAGATGAAATAAATTGTTTCTTACTTGAGGAGGTGGCGGTCGAACAGGAGATGGATTGGGATTGAAGTGTGATTGTTGTCCTGGTATATTAGGTGGTTGCGGTTGACCAGGAGGATAGTCGAATGGAGTTTGAGATGGTGGAGCAGCAGAATTTGAAGGGTATCCATTAGGAGGCATGTTATTCGGATAAAACTTCTGAGGAACTAAATATAGATAGGAGAAAACATATCATTATTTGAAATTAGGTTTAAGCATTCATGGGTTTTGAAGACAAAATATTTGAATATCTCGACGTTTATGAGGCAGCATAAATTTACTCACTTTTGCGTGTGTGGAGTATGGTAAATGACAATGACAATAACAGTGGGAATTCTAGAAGTAAAAGCGTTTTTTTTCACCTTGATCAGTGTATCCTTGTAATAGTGTCTCAAGTGCTTTATAATCCTTTCGCGTTTAGAAGCATCACTAGTAGACTGTGCTGTTGTTAGCATTATTGTTGTAGATAAGCCACAGTGTATCAGATCAGCTAACTGTATTTAGCTCTAGCTTTACTTTTAGTAATCAGGTTGCTTCAGGACACAAGTGAATTTACATTATTCAACTTCATTTTGTGAAGTGAATTGATATGCAAACAGATGCGCAATGCATAAAACTCAACGTTTTTTGAATATTTACGCTTAAACAGTAGTAGAATTTTACAAATTTTTGTAAGAATTTTAAGGATACTATAATCTTCCTACAATAGGTATACTTTATTACGGTTTTGACAGCTATCTTAAATCTATAGTCCGAGTTCTATGTTCACGTTGTAGACCGTTAAAAAAAATGTAGAACACCTTTTCCATGTCGTGTACACCTAAACTTGACCGGATAACAGAAACAAAGTTGTAGTTTTCTAGTAACTACATGTAAACGGGTTTTCATGAAAGAGTGATGATTTGCAAAATCGCTAAGGAAGAAATACAAATAACTATTGAGTTACATTCTTCTTAGTTTCTATTCGCTAAGTGTAATTACTAAGAATTTATTAAACTAAAAGACTGCGAAGCAGAACCGGCTGAATACAAGATCCGAATCGACGAGCCTTTCGTCATAAAGTTTACATAAAGAAAGAATGACTTACCTCCTTGTGGTGCTTGACTGCGTGGTGGGTGCTGATCAACACCGAAGTGATTTGGGTGTGGTACGGGTACTGGACCACCGTGATGGGGGAAACCGGATGGTGGTAAGTGAGCTCCAGGAGAAGACAAAGGCATCATGTGATTTCCAGTAGGAGTGGGACCCATTGGAGGTTGCGGCTGATTTATGTGTCCAGGAAAAGTCATAGGTGGTCCCTTAGGAGTCATATCTTCATCTGGCATAGCTGGAGGGATTTGGTCATGACTACGGTTCAACATTGCAATAGCTACCTTGGGATCAACTATCTTCATAACGATTTGAGCCTGAAAAGACGAATCAGAAAACATATGGAAACTAGATTTTGTCGAATATAAAGTATTCTGTTGAAGTTCTATAGTAACACCAAAAAACTTTACATGATGAGGACTTACTTGGTATCAAAGGACTTTAAATTAGTTATGAAGATTTTTGGTATTCATAAAATCTAAATTAATACTATTTAAAAAAGGATTGGTTAGTAGCGTTTTTTTTCCTTCACGTTCCCCAGTGGAACATAGGGTTTCAAGCTAGTTGCTTGAATTTTCTGTAGCAGTGTTTATTTATTTTACAGGACGGGATGGATGGCTAGCCTCATGCCCAACCTTTCCTCCCCACCAGTTTTACTACTGGCTTAGCGAGGTAAAGGAGTGAGTCGGCCGGGGATCGAACCCCGGACCATGTGAATGGTCGGCGAGCGTCCTAACCGCTGTACCACCGACGTACTGCGTGTGTTTACTCGTAGCTTATTGTTTCAGATTCAGCTTAGTAAACTCTCAGAATACAATAAAATACCGAGAGGTATAAATATTATGCTGCTGCAAATATCTCGGTCGTCATCACATAAATTAGAGCGAAAGCAAGTGCAAATGCTGTAGCTAACGTGTCAACTTGCTTGCAGGTGAATAAGCAGCTTACACATACCTTTTCAGTGGTGAACACTACAGTTATAATCATACAGTAAACTGTTTTTCCTCTTACAACAAAAGTAGAATCCAATATGAAATTGCAATTTTTTCATGGCTGTGTTACTCTCTTGGTAAAGATGCATTCGACAGAAACATAAACTAGTGATGTGCCTAGAGAAATACTCTTGGATACAACAGAAATAAACTGACTCAATCATTTAAATTCTATCTAAGAAAAATGAATAAGCCCTAATCATTTCACTGAACAAAACTTATTTAAATCAAGAAGCAAAACATGAGTTGAAAATTACCTGGAGTAAAGCATATGCCAACTGTGGATTCTGAAGAAGCATATTCCGCGCCTCGTTAGGATTGTTTTGTATGCATAATTTCATCTGCTTCATCAGTTCGTACATCTGTTCAGGTGGCAAACTAGCAACTGCTCGACTAATAGCCTCTGGAGCACCTTGTGGATCAATACTGTCACCATATGGACTTTCAAGTGGTGGTCCAACAGCAGGGTTACTCAAAGCTAATTCAGCAGAGTTTTGTTCTCCGGCAGCCGGTCCAATACGCAACGGACGGCCATTGAATTCGATATTTTGGAGGTTTCTAAGGGCGCTCGCAGCGATAGCTGGATTGTTGTACTCACAAAATCCATAGCCTTTGGGTTTTCCGGACTCTCTGTCATAGACCAAACGGAAACCAATTACGGGACCAGCCTATGAAATGAAGTAAATACTTCATGTGACTAATTACCTTGCCAAACAGTTCAATAAGCTTTTCTTCTGTTGCCTCGTATGGTATATTACCTACAAAAATAGATCGCGCAGTCTTCTCAGCTGCTTCTTTTGTCAACACCGGTGCTGCCATTGTAGAATGTCAGTTGGAAGTTAACGAATAGTTTTCAGCGGTAGCTATGAGACCTGAAAAAATAATTGGACGGAGGAAATTAAAATGCATTTTGAGAAAATCATGCGATAGCAATAAACCCTACCACAAACATGCACAGTATTTGAAGGCTGTATGAAAGATCAAAATAAATATGAAACTTGTACAGATAAGCATTCATCAATAGCAATTATCTATCTATCATTTTGAAAACCGAATCTTTTCAAAGGAAAATTCAAGATTGAAAGTAGACAAATTGAAAACGATAAAATGTAGCTAGCTATTTGTGAATGAAATATTCTGGATGTTGGAGCACACGTGTATTTCGTAAATTATTCGACAAGCTAAAAGAGCACTGATCCATATTCAGTTTACAACCTACAGGTCAAGGATACAAACCCTGTAGGATAAATGAGGTTTTTATTTTCTGTACATACCCAAATATACGTAGTATTCGTGCAAAATAAAAGTATAAATGAAATACTTACCATGTATCGCATGATACCTATATTATTTCACACTAACTAAGGTAGTCTGCAACCATTTTTGTAACACTTCCCAAAGTATTTGACACAGACGAACGTCTTCGTCAAAAATCCACAGTGTAATAGGAGTGCGAAAATGTGCTTTATGGTTAGTTTTATCCCACCCACTCAAATTTACTGTGTTCCCGCTTATGACAAAAAGCAATAACGCGGCTTACTATACAGACTAACTACATGGTTTTTAAATCAATGAAGTAAACTAACAACTACAACCAGATTTCACTTCTCTATTTTGTCCTCTTGTACCTAAAGTCAACATCTGCAATGATTAAATATTATTTGCAATTATAGCTTTCCTTTAGTGCGTTTAGTTCGAGTCAAAATGACAGATTCTAACACTTAACACGTTCTGCTACTACACTTTGTATCTCTTAGTGGAAATAATACCTAGTTAATGTCACTTAGGGCATTTATAATAACTCATTTAGTATCTCGACCTTCCCAATTATTTCACTTTTCAAAAACGAACCTCATGGCGATGAACATTTTATGAAAATAAGGTGAGTACTGTGTGTATTAGTCTTCATCCCAAGTACCATCAGAAAAGTCTTCATCAAGCAGATAAGTTCTCATTCCTTTTTCTAGCTCGAAAAGGTGGAATAAGCAACCATTGCACACCGAAAA